GTCCAGCCAGAAGAGTACAAGCAGGAGCTCAAAATTCAAATTAGGTGTAGAGATTGAGAGCATGGTTCCAGAGACAGATGGTCAGGGTTTCCGTCTTTTCTCTGACACTCAGCTGCCATATGGCCTGGAAAGTTCCTCCACTTTCCCATCTTTAAAATGGAAATAAGAGTATAGCCTCAGCCTCACTCTGTTACTCTGATAATTCAATGAGTAAATAGCTCCAGTACTCAAGACAGTGCCTAAAACATAGCAATTATATTACAAAACTTTATATTAATTAATAACTTTGTTTTAATTGATCAAAGTGATGAAATCATGAAATAAGCTCTCAAGAGAGGCCACATTTTCTGACTTCTCTGGTGATGTCCAGGAAAAAGGGGCGTGGTTAAGACCAAGATTTAGCAAGCCATTTTTCTCATGCCCAAGGATCCATTTAAGATATTAGTGGCCAGCGCTGTGGAGAGAAGCCTGTATAGCCACAACTTTGTGGACAGATGAGCTGGGCTAATGGTCAGAGGAAGGAGTGAGGTTCCTGCATTTTCTGCCCAAGACTGCATTCACCCTACTTCGTTTCTTTCCCTCGAGAGGATTCATCCATGCCCTAGTCAGCAGACCTCGAGGAAAAACGAGCGGAAACGTCTCCAGGCTCTATTTCTACTCTCAGCATTGCTCCATATTATTATTATTGTTATTTCAGCTGATGTTTGAACGTGGAGCTTTCTATTCCTTTTCTACCTCTGAATCTGTCCCCGTAGAATCCTGCCTCTCCCATTCAGACTCACTCAAAGTTTGCTCACTTAAGTTTCCTCTTAATTGTGGCAGCCTTAGTTAATGGGCCTTGGTAGCACCTAAACATCAAATTTTGTCCAGATCGACTCAATCCTTTGAAATGGGAACCGACTATCTACCACTACCTCCCTCCCCCGCTTTCCAAATAAGGGAAGAAAGTGGAACCTGCTTTGAAAAGGTGTCTGCTTCCTGATTGAGACATCCACTTGCTTTGATATCCTAGTAGGACCAGAAAAGCTCTGGTGGCCTCAGGATTGAGGGGCATCCCTTCTCAGACATCCTCACCACTGCAGAGCTTTGAAACCTTTCCACACGCCTCCTCTTCCAGAAAGCCCTCCAGGCACCACACGAAGCAGTGCACAAACTGTGGGGCCTGCTTTCTGGGAACTCAGGCTCAGGAAGTTTGGGATCCCAACCATGTTCATGCCAAGTGGCGGTGGGCAAGTCACAGGAGCTCTTGGCATCTAATATTCCCCTAGGTGGTCACTTCCCCTGGCTCCGTTGCTGCTGCCAAAGGGAATTGCCAAAGCCAGTGTCTCCCGTAAATGCCTCTTTGAAGTGAACACCTGGCATTGCAAGATTGTGAAGGGCATTTCAGTTCATTCTCAGCGTGGGCAGAATCCAAGGTCTCATTAACTCTTTTCTAGGTGGGTTTCAAGATGCTGGAAACATGATCTCATTTGACTGGGGCTGACATGTACCCATAGCCACTTCAGAAGGGTTGTTCCTCGAGACCTAGCTACCCCGCCTCCCCCCTCCGCACTGACTTTACAGTTGGCACCAGGGTACACCGCTATGGGTCTCTTTAGCAGCACTGCATGGAGGAGCTGCGTGGGGGCAGAAGAGTCACTAACAAGCAGCTCACCTGGCCCCGTCCCAAATCCCGAAACCCCAAAGGCAAAGCTGAAGCAGGCCGATTGTTTTCTCTCTCTTGCAGAAAGCAAACACCGTAGCCAGTGACAACTTGTTTGACATTTGAGTTAGTGGTGCTGAAAAGAGGAACGTCCACCCTCGAGGAAGGAATGCTGTTTCTGGGGCTAATTGACTGGCTGACACGTCCCTCCCTCCCTGCCTCCCTCCCTCCTGGGCCTGCCAGGCTGCCTGGCTCGGTTATTTGCTGCGGATGAGAGCCTCAGCAATTTATTGCCACCAGGCCAGGGGAATGCCAAGCTGCCGCTTCTGCAGCTTGCTCACTGGTCTATGGAGTCATTCTCCAGCTCGCCGTGGCTGTGCGATCAAAAGATTGTCTGGCTGTAGAGCTGGAATCAGCTGCTGTAGGCTCTTCAGGAACAATGCATCCTGACTAGGGGCTGGAGAATATGCCAGTGGAAGTCCCGGCAGGGCAACTGTTGAGGCCATTTCTTCTTCTTGGGGGACTAGGGGTCAGATGAATTGTTGGTCTAAGTGATGGGCCACCACGCAACGGGTCACCTGTTGGTCCCTGGAAGCACCACTGTCCTCTCCACGCTGAGCAGGCTGAGACTTTACACTGAGTAGCAGGTCCAGCAGAAAACTCCAGTAAATAGCACGTTCCCATAGTTTCTCTGGCATTGCTTACATGCAAATTCCCTAGGACAGGGTTTGATTAAAATGCAGATTCGGATCAGTAGGTCTAGGATGGGCCCAGAGATTCTTGATTTCTGACAACCTCCTACTTTCAGAGCGATCCGAGCCTGGAACAGTTCTCCTTGGACATCCCTAGAGGCAGCTTTTCCAAACTGCTGAATTCCGTGCCCAAAGAGCGCAAATTCAGATGCAACTACTGTGGCTTGAGCCAGAGGAGAGATTTTTGTTAAATCTCTCTCAAATCCGCTGCCATTGAGTGACTTCTGACTTATAATGACCCCTATAGGGTTTCGAAGGTGGTAAATCTTTATAGGAACAGAGAGCCTGTGGAATGACTGGGTGTTTGGATTGCCAATCTTACAGTTTGCTTGTCCAGTGTGTACAGGACAACAGCACACAGCTCCTTTAAATCACCTCACCGAACGTCCCAAGCTCCACAGCCATTGGATCTAATTTGACCCACGGCAGAACGGCTCCTTAGAATTATCAAGACCAAAAATCTTTAGGGGAGCAGACAGCTTTACCTTTCTCTCAAGGAACAGCTGGTGAGTTTGAACCTCTGACCTGCAGTTATGGATACCACAGCACTACTTAAAAACCACACTCGCTGCCATTGAGTCAGTGCCAACTCTTAGCAACCCTTTTGAACAGGGAAGAACGGCCTGGGAGTTTCTGAGACTATAACACTTTACAGGAGTAGAACATTCCGTCTTTCTCACACAGAGTGGCTGGTGTTTTTGAAATGCTGACCTTGCAATTAGCCCAGCCCTTAGCCACGATGCCACCAGGGCTCCTACAGTATATACCAGGGAGATATAAATACACCCATTCCTTACTTATGGGCATGGTTAGGTTCCAAAAAACAGATTATGCTACATCTGGGCTTTGGGAAAAATAGTCACTGCACTGTCTTCAGCACAGGTATTCCCCCGACTCCCTGCTCGTAAAGCGCTCACGTTGCAGCTCTGGAAGTGCGTGCAGGAGCGAGCGCTCTTCCTCACCATCACAGGGTTGGGAATAGGGTGGCCCGCTGAGAGGGCCTCTCATGGAGCTGCAGCATTGCAGGCACCAGCTAAGAATTGTTCCAAATTGTCATAGGTTGACATGCCAGATATTGCGATAGTCAATAAATGAGGAGCAGGCATAGGCCCAAAGATTTGAATAAACAGCAACTATTTCTAGGAAACAAGCATGAGGAAATATCATAGTAGCTGTCCACGGGAAGAGAAGCTAGAGTTCAAGGGTCATTATTCATTGTATGATCTTCCGAATGGCTTGTACGTTTCCAACAAGTGTTTATGTTAATTTTCCAAAGCATTAAAATTGTGTGTGTGTGAAGTCACTCCTTAGGTGGTTACCGACTGTGCTCATCAGCTTTGGGAAACAGTAACCACGTGACAGGAGCACTGTGGCTAAGCACTTGGATGCTAATGATAAGGCTGGCAGTTCATGACCCCCAGCTGCTCTGTGGAGAAAGATGAGCCAGACTACTTCTATACAGATGCGCGCCTCCGAAACCCTATAGAAAAGTTCTCCTTGACCCTATGAGCTTTGCCATGAGTCAGAGTCCTCTTGACAGCAGTACGTTTTTTTCTTTTCTTCAAAGGAGTAGGTATGTTCATCTGGTGAAGGGAACACTGATTGGGAGCAACGGAAAGGCCAGCCCAGTCTCAGTCACCATCTCATCATGATGTCTTGCAGGTGACTGTTCTAGTCCTCCGTTTTTGAGCATGGGGAGGGACTTCAACTAACTGATTTCTGCAATTCCTTCACACTCAGAAGTATGGGTTCTCCCTGTATGTACACGGAGACTAAAAAGGACAATAGCTATTTATTACCATCCAGTGAGTTTTCCATTTTTTTTCAATATAAATCCATTTACGGGCATACATTCATGGACAAAAAACTGCTCTATGAAAAACCCACTCCATGAATCAGCGGGTTGGAATGGAAGTACTCTGCATGAAACAGCTAACAATGGGGAATGAGACCAAACACACGTATTCCAATGGCCCGGTGCCTTTATGGTGGAGCCTGCATCACCCTCCATGACTGACTCGGAATCCGTGGGTTATAATCAGACAACAGCGGTTCCGGTCGCATTCTGTCGTGTTCAAGGCCTGGAAATGAAATAAAGCCCGGTGAGTGTAATTAACATTCCAGGGTCGCCAGGTCAGTCTATATGAAAGTCAGGTTCCAGTTCCTGGCTCTGGCTCATTAATCTTTTCTCTATCCTTGGTGAGGTATCAAGAATAATTTAGTACTGCTGATAGCATAGAAACTATCTTTTTTTTTTCTTATAAGATATGCTCCATATTTCTTTCTTTCTTTTTTTTACTTTGGAAGATACATTTATTTTTGATTAAAAAGTTTCCTCCCATGACTGGCACTGCAAGTCATACGTGACCAGTCATTTGATTCTCTTATGTGACAACTTGGGCCCTGGTGAGAACCACTTACAGCAGTACCCCTCCCCAGTCACTGCAGAGCGGAGCTGCTGAGAATGCTGGTTCGGCTCACAGGCATTGTTCGAGGCGGCCCCTGCTCTGATTGCAGAGGGAGGGGTCTTCACGTGTCCAGGGGCCTGGGCCTGATCTGGGGCCTGGCGGGCAGTGGTGGCCCCTGGGCTGGCCTTTCAGGTCCCCTCACCACACCTGGCACATCTGGATGACCTCCCGCAGGGCCTTCATGCCCTCCATGCTCTGGTCCTTTACAGCCAAAGCCAGGAGGACGGCTTGGTTCCCGGCTTCTTGAGACACGAATGTCACCAGGTTCTTCGCAAAGACGTGGACCAGAGGCTCATCCTGCCCGAGAAGCACTCTGGTGGTGAGCATGGGCTTGCTGATGTCACTGGCCACCTCACTGGGCTCCAGGGGCACCAGGGTCCCCATCTTCCCAAACTGAGTCACCACCACCAGCATGTGGCTGCTGAAGGCGGTGTACACCACCTGGGTGGGGACCCCACGCAGCATCTCACTCTGCTGTTTGGAGACCACCAGAGGCTGGCCATCCAAGGTGCTGGGCGCCTTCTGTGGCGGCCAGCGTGTGCGATGCGCCCATATTTATTTCTATGAGAGCAATCTCACCAGCCTTCCAAAACAACTTTTGCCATAGAGTGTATTCTGACTCACAGTGACACTATTTCGCCAGAGAAACGACTTACATTCACTCTGAGTCTAAATACAGGTAAAGCTGTATGAGAGTGCTTCCACAAGTTCACGTAAAAAGTCCGTTGTCTTTTAAGTCCCATTTCCATGGACTTTTGGAAGCCCCATTGTATATACCGAGAATAATACAGGTCTCCCCCATTCAAACTCCCCCTTTTCCGAAACTCAGCAGGGTACGTAGGCTTCTAAGGCGAACCTTTACATCATCTGACCATGCTGGAATAGCTGAAGTGGGGAGACGGAGGGACTGGGCCAGAACACACACACACACACACAAAGTTTTGGAAGGAGGGAAAGAAATAAAATTCCATCATAAGAAAGGGAAAGACCTTGCGGAAAGAAAACATCGTTGAAGGAAAATATTATGAGGTCTGTGTTGCTTGGCTCCGGCTTCCGTTTTCATACCTTGTTTCCTTGAAGAAAACCCTCATTTTCCCCCAAGCTGTCTCCTGATTGACTTTCAATTGATATGGTTATTCGATAGCTCCGATCAGTTAATCCTTCCATATGGTTAAAATTAAACCACCAATCCATGCTCATTTTCCCCCTTATGCCTGCTAATTTATTCTGAAGATTATCCTTCCAGCTAAATTACCCTGATTCCTTTTTCCTTGCATCCATATATCCCCCTGGAAACCAAAAGGGTTGTCAGGGAATGGGAGGCTGTTGGAGCACTTCCTTTGTCTTGACTTGCATTCTTTGTGCCTATCTCCCAGATTAGGCCGTAGAGAATGTCTGAAAGCAGCGATTTCACTTTCAGTGACCTCTTAAATTTCCTGTAACCTGGGGACTGGTTACATGAGACCTTGGCAGTGATGGAGGTCTTGCTCTCAGAATTCCCCACTTTCCCCACACCTCCAAGGCTTAGAACAAGACAAATAGTCCTCTGTGTCATCCTGACCCTAAAAGTCAGCTCCATGAAGTTATTTTCTTTCCATTGCCACAGTTCTGGATTCCCCATATCAGTTACCCCCAAATAATCTGACCTGCTCTGCACCCCCAGCCTTCATGTTTAGAATAAACGTCTCTGTTAAATTTAGGCTGTCAAATAAAATTTGTACATAGAGCTGCATTATCTAGAACATCTGGACATCTAACCTCAGCCCTTGCCCAACGACTTGGGTTCACTAATTGACTGGCAGGAACCCAGGATGGGGTGTTTTAGGCACAGTTTGCGTCCTATAAGACCTCCCTTATTAGTGAGTCCTTGCCACCGGACAGCTTCTGAAGTCATAGGCCCTCTAGGTTTTGGACCCCAAAAAGTTGGAATCGTCAGCTGTCAGTTCTGTTGCCTGCTCCCCAGAATGTTCCTTTGTCAGGCAAAGGAAAAAACAACACCCACTGGCGTCAACAGGAGAAGGCCCATTATTGTTGCTCCTTTTCTGACTCTAGTTGTTTTTTTCTCTTTGCCCAAGTTGGCTGCACACAACCAAGGCCCACACAGTACAAGCAAAGATAGGACTCCTGCCCCAAGGGTTGAGAAATCTCATGTTTTCCTCTCTATTTTTATTCCAGTGTACCATGGGTCCTGAAGCCTTGTGCGTCCTGAAACACTTCACTGTGTTGTGTTTAGTAGGAAAGACTTGAGTTTTATGGCTGTGGGTTATGAAAGGCCTCCCCCGCCAACCCCCCTCCACTGCTCCTCCCGGGAAATGTGATGGGTGTGACTGTTACCGATGAGTCCTGCTGGGAAAATACAAACCATGATTCCCTTACGGACTGAGCCATGACTTTTGCGTTTTGGGCCACAGCCTGGTCCTAATTTTGTCCCTCTCTGACTGGCTTTGTTTATTGGCATTAATGTTCCATATTAAAATTTAATATTTAACTTTTGCTTTCAATATTTAATGTTCTGCATCTTACATTTGGATGTCTCCCTTCTGGGAGCGGTCAGCTGCACAGGGTGATGCAAGCGCTAATCCCTTTGACTTCCAGTAAAACGGTCTCCCTCCCCTTCCCTTTCTTTCACGGCGCACCCTCACTCTGCGTTCAGATCCAGCCTGGGAACTACCTGGAGGACAGTTTTGTCTTTTGCTCATGCATTCATTCCACTCACATTTATTGAGTGCCATCCGTGTCAGTTATTATGAAAACTGTTGCTAAGGGCCCACAAGAGAAGAATATGAACTAAGTCCTACCTTGAGGTAGCCAGGGAGAAAAACAAGATGCAGTTAAAGTAACAAATGTAAATGTTTGTGGAAAGTATAGGTAAGGGATAGGGAAGACTAGCCCTGCCGCAGGGCCTGGCGGTGCACTGTGGAAGGAGCAGAAGACCCTCTAAGATCGGGTAGGGGAAGAAGGACATTCGAGGCACGCCTAGCAAAGGTATAATTAGCAGTGATGGTGATGACTTATTTGTGAGATGGGGAGGAAATGATTTATTGCTAGAATGGAGCTGCATGTGGGGGACAGAAGGCATGATGCCAGATGAGTCTAGTGACATAGTTTATTACTTGATTATGAAGGACTGCATAAGCCATAGTAAATAGTTTAATCACTTATTAAATAAATCTGTGAGAGATATTCTCAGCAAGTGACAGTACTGGGAAATTTCTTTTGCAGAATACTATTGGAAAATACCCTTCGTCGTGCAAAGAATCTGGGTCTAAGGCATGGAAAACAGTACTTAGTTTCTTCTAGGTGGGATACAGTAAGCTATTCTTATTTAAGATATGTATCTGTGAGGAATTTAAAATGCAGTTTGAAAAATATGGCAAAGAGCTGGAACCAATGAGAAAGCATTAGACAAAGAATCATTCAGTACTTCGTTGTGTGGTAAGAATGTGAAATTCCTGTGCAAGCAAAGAAGGGAAGCTTTCTAGTCCAGCCATTTTTCTGTTGAAGCCTACATTTCTAAATATTCCTTAATTGATAAAGGTCAACTTCATAGCTCATTGACCCATCAACCACAGAGGGAGTTCTCAGCATCTCAGGTAGCAATCCTCGGATGGTACAAAGACGTAATGTGCTCAGCTGCTACCACCAGGCTGGAGCATTGAAGCCATCCAGAGATGCCTCAGACGAAAGGGCTAGTGACTTACTTTGAACAGTCGGTCAGTGAGAATCTCACTGTGCTCAGTTCCATTCTGAAACACATGGGGTGGCCATGAATTGACGTCTACTCCAAGACAGCTGGTGCTGATGGTAGAGCATCAGACACATAGCAATTAAAGAGAGAACAGAGATAAAGAGGTTGGGAAGACAGAGCTAGAGTTTAGTAACCTGAAGAGAGTGGAGTGAGGAGATCAAGAGACACGTGAATGAGGTGGGACAACTGAAGACCATAGTTGTGTTTCCAATGTGTTTTGAGACGTTGCTAACTGTATTTAATATTTTAATAATGATATATTCATTATTTTTATGACTATAAAAATAAAAAGGCCTGTAATTTTTTTTCAATGCACAATTATGCAAATTGGGAAGCAAAATCTCTTCTGTAAAACACCCTTCTTCTACCCCAACTTAAGATGACCACTGTCAAAATATATGTGACATATATATAAATATATATATATAAAGCTTTGTAAAGAAAGGATACTGTTATATTGGCTGACCAGCAGGTTGTAATTCCAGCACAGCCAATCATTTGAGTAAGGGAGTTTGCAACGACTAGAGGAGAGGCGCAGATATCGGCAAGTTTCCACATTGCCCACCCAAGAACCAGTGTGTATCTGAGGCTAAGGTGATCCTGAACCCTGAAAATAAGCTAAGTCCACATGTCAAGATGCCACCAAGAGAGTATTGGATCAGTGTGAAAACTCTACTTGGAGAACGTATTATGTCCACAAAACATTTCTCATAAAGCCGACTGTGGAAGAACTGCAGGCTTGCCATCAAGTGCATTCTAACTCACATGCACCCTGTAGGACAGAGCAGGACTGACCCACAGGGAGTTCACGGTTACAAATCTTTTCCGAAGCAGACAGCCACATCTTTCTCCTGCAGAGCTGCTGGTGGGTTCTCACTGTCAACCTTTGGATTAGCAGCCCAATGCTTAACCTACTGTGCCACCAAGGATCCCCAGTGGAGGGAAACAGAGTAAAGGATGGTTACATGGAAAGAACATGGATTTAGACTAAATAGGATAGTTTGCATGTCTGCTTTGCTGTCACTCCGTTCCCTGTCTCACCTCTGAGTCTCCTTTTCCTTTCATTACAGATGGTGATGATCTGTACTTACCCTCCGAAAGTCACAGCACTACACAGAAACCACATGATACAGCCATTCACTCATCACTTGTGTGAGGAGTGCTGCTCCTTGGTTGCCCTTTTTTAGGAGCTGGATTAGAGAGTAAACAAAATAGACAAAACTTCCTCCCCTCAGGGAGACTACATACTAGGTGGTCCCATGTATTCAGAAGTGCTTTGCACACTGCCGATTGTTGATTTAATGTAAACTGCTGAGCCCAGGGCTTTAAAGGGCTCAGTTTTGTTCTCTTGCTTAACTGGTTGCCCTTGAACCCTGAGGATAGCAATGAGTAGGGTCTCGCTGCCAGAGGCTGTGGAAAAGTGGGTTCAATCTAATTCATCAGAAAGCAGGAAGAAGAATTTCTGATAAGTTGGCAGAGTGGATATGATGGTGAGAATCGGTGGGTTGGCTGTGGGGAAAAGATATGCAGATTTGAATGGGCAGGTCTTCTCTTTGCAGAATCACTTCAGGATTTACTTAGCTGCCTGGTCCTCACTACGGCCCCAGACACAGGAATCTGCATCAGCAGTGTAGGATTTTTCAGAAGGCCTGGTGGAGCGAGGCGTCTGGGTCCTCTGAGCAATCGGACACTGCGAGAGGGAGGTGTGAAGATACTGAGGAAAATCAGCGCCCCTCAGGGCCCGGTGCCAACCTTGGCGCTCTCTTCTCAAGTCTGTTGTGCAGATTGATTTTACCCGGGCTTACAACTGTCAGCTGTAGACATTTCTGTATGGAGGGCAAGGCTCAGGAACAGGTGATTTTGAAGAATTACTCTCAGTACTGGAAAAGGGAAGACAAATCATATGAATGCAGTAGAAACTGGGTGACTACTAATTTACATTATATTACATTTACTAATTTACATTATATTACATTTCCTCACTCTTGCTAACTGATAAAAATAAAAGCCAGTTTAAAAAACGGCGACTGTGTGTCAACCATTGGCTTTCCATGTGCTTTATTGTGTGGGATCATCTTAACCACCCTCGTTCACGCAATACATTGTTTTTAGTCCTAATTCTAAACGTGAAGTACTACTACTGGCTCCATTTAGCAAACAAAGAAATTGGGTTCTGAGAGGTCAAATAACTTTCCCAAGTTTACTTAACCAGTCTCAGAGATAGCATGCAAACCAATATAATTTTAATTTATACATATAACTTTTGTGCATTATGCTATTAAAATATAATACTAGCATATTTTAGTGCTCCAAAATGTCAGCTGCTTTTTTATTTTCTTATTATCATTATTCTTATTTTATAGATGTATAGATTGAGCTCTAGAGAAGTGGCCTTCTCTGCTCAAAGTAACAACCAGAA